ACTCTAAATTATATCAAACATAATTACGCGTATGACAATTCTAAGTTTATTTCAACACATAACCGATGAAAATATAGACAAACTAGATAAGATGGAACGACAGCGATGAAAGGATTCGAAAACAAATGCATACAAGCGCTAATACAAATAAAACTAGATACATCCATGAAAGAGGAGATGAATCAGAGAAATGTATGGGCTCGAATCCACAGTTAAAAGACAAAGAAAATTGCGACATGTTGGGCATATCATGGTAGAAGCGGGTTGACAAATCACCAGAAAGGCGATTGAAAAAAAATGGACTGGTAAAAAGAGGACGTACAAGAGAAACTAGTGGTGATGCGAGACCCAAGGGCTGCCACCTGATTCCATGTATGATATCGATAAGATTGTACAGGATAGAAGGAAACAGGGCTGCCACCTGGTTCCATGTATGATATCGATACGACTGTACAAGATAGAAGGAAACAGGGCTGCAACCTGATTCCATGTATGATATCGATAAGATTGTACAGGATAGAAGGAAACAGGGCTGCCACATGATTCTATGTATGATATCGATACGATTCTACAAGATAGAACGAAACAGGGTTGCCACCTGATTCCATGTATGATATTGATACGATTGTACAGGATAGAAGGAAACAGGGCTGCCACCTGATTCCATGTATGATATTGATACGATTATACAGGATAGAAGGAAACAGGACTGCCACCTGATTCCATGTATGATATTGATACGATTATACAGGATAGAAGAAAACATGGCTGCCACCTGATTCCATGCATGATATCGATACGATTGTACAGGATAGAAGGAAACAGGGCTGCCACCTGATTCCATGTATGATATCGATACAATTGTACAGGATAGAAGAAAATAGGGATGCAGACATAAAGAAAACAGGGGTGAGGCAAAAAAAGGGGGGGGGGGTGTTCAGCAATAAGCATACGAATACTGTGTTGAATTGGAAATAACTATGACAATATGCTAGAGATAATGGGAATACACAAGTAATATGAATAAACAAATAATGTGAATAAACAAATACATGTAGAAGAAAAAA